GGAGGACGAGACAGAGGACAAGCGACCTTCCTCCATACCCAAACTGACATGTTTCTAGCCGCCCCTTCCCGTCTTCGAATCTGTCCCTTGCCAACGTGTCGCAGCAATTGCGGCACGCTTCCCGGCGCCTGCCAAGGACTGCCTCCCTCGCGATCCCTGGGTTTCTCCATCTCCCATGGACCCACATCGTCATTCTATGATCCTTGGCACGCGTGCCCCTTGTATGGGGGGCGGGGGCCGCCGACGCGACCTCCCGCGCGCGGGGCTGCTGACTGCGCCGGGTCGACTGCTGGAGCGGTCTGCTGCCCATGGCCCAGCGCTGCTGCCACCGCAGCCTGCGGGCCTTGGGCGATGCTCCCCGGCGTCAGCACTGGCGTCTCCTCGCCCATGGGCTCGGGCCCAGACTCCCGACTCGGAGGCTGGGACGGCGGGGTCTCGTCGGCCACGCTGACAACCGTCGAGACGAGCGTCGCCAGGCACACTGCGCCACGGACCCACGTCGGTAGCACTGGCCGATGGAGCCCCCCGTGGGAGGCGTGGCTGATTCGGCGAGCTGTAGTCAATTAATACTGCTCGGGCCGAGATGGCTGCGAAGTTCGAGGCTATCCGAGGCTGCCCTGTCGGTTTCGGGGTCCTGAACCTTAGTGGACCGGGAATCGCTCTGCACGAAACATGATGATACCTATCCGATCTGGGGGGCCTCTGAGCGCGCGACTGCAACGCGACCGGCTGGCAACATCTGACGCCCGAGGCCTCGCATTCCTGGTCCCTGAGGGTGTCCTCGCCGCGCTGGACCCGATCCACGATAAAGAGGAGGGCCCCGCTAATCGCGCACATGGCCCCTAGGATCCCGACAAGGTCCTCTACGACTTAGTAGGCCCCGCTCTGGTTCCTCCCGAGGCTGTCCCCCACGGTGGCCCCGAGGTTGAGAATGAGGAAAAGGAAGAGGAAGAAGCGGGACATGTACTCAGCCACAGCGCACACCGAGCCGCCCTCGGCCATCTCGAAGAGAGCGCCCGCCCTCGGCAAGGCAAGAAGAGTCTGGCCGCAGAAAGGGGAACTTCAGGGGGGCACGCGGCGAGACACGCGCAGGCCGAGGCAACGGGAGCACGACGTCCGCCACCCTGCGCCCTGACGACAGCTTGTGGAGCGGTACCCGAGCGTCGAGCCTGGCGACCTTCATGCGATTCTTCGGCAGATCGATGACGCATCCCAGGAAATCCAGGAGGTTCACGCCGATGATGCGCGGCACGTCCTCGAGAAGCACCGCGGCCTCCGATCCCGAGGACACCTCCCAGAGTCAATGGGAACAGGATCGAACCCGCGATCTTGGCCTGGCCGCCGACTCCATGGGCGGGTCGGATCGGCGATCCCTCTCCAGGAGGCACCACCACGCACGTCATCCCGAGGTCGCCGAGCGCCAGCGCCTCGCGGTCGAGGGCAGCCAGTCCTACTAGGTCGCCGCCGGCGCCTGGGCCCACCAGCCCTGGCGTCGGCCGAGCGGTCAGGTAGATCTCGGAGATCTGGCCCTGGAGTTCTCGAAGCGATGCCAGGACGTCGTCAGTGGGCGGCGCCACGCAGCCCGAGAACGCGCAGGACGCCAGCTGCTCGCCTGTCCTGCTCGGGCGGTCCTTCTTCGGCTTCGGGCACTGGTCCTTCCAGCAGCCCTTCTCGCCGCAAGTCTCGCACCTGGTGACCTTGATGACCTCCTCGAGGGGAAGGCCGCCGAGCCCGCGGCCCCTGCCTCGGCCCCGCCCCTTGCCCCGGCCGCGCCCACGCTCGAGACGACCCTGGGGCGGCGGCGGCGGTCGCTGGCCGCTGGAGCCGGAGGGCCTGCCCCTGCCCGAGCCGCGGCAGTACTCTCTGTCCTTCTTGGCCGCCCGCTTGAGATCTTTGTTCTCCTTCCACGCCCGCTTCTTCAGGCCGGCCAAGTAGCTCTCAACACCGTCTTCGTCGAGATCCATCTCTGACAACTCCAACAGCACGGCGTTGATCTCGTCCTGTGACATATCTTCGGTGTCATCGGAGTCGTCGTCGGACTGTTCATCAACGTCCTCGGGTCCGGCACCGTCGTCCTCGGCCCAGCCTTGTTCCTGTGTGGAGTGGGGGAAGGCAAAGGAGGAGGGATCTGGAGCGCCGCCAGTCGCTTCTGGACCGTCGGCGAAATTGCCAGCGCCACGGCCTGGCAGCAGACGCTCAGACGTGGTGAAGCCAAGCTGTCGGATGGCCCAACACACACTCTTGTACTCCAGATCGCCGCGGGCGAGGGTCCTCATGTTCTGCATACCCTGCGGTGATAGCGAGGCTCCCTCTTCCATAATGAAGCCCTTGAGCTTGCCCGAGATCCAGAGGGCGTTGCCTCCGGCCCCCCGGAACTGTCTCTCTCGGCGATCGACGAAGGCCTGCAACGTCTCCTTGGCCTCTCGCTGGCACTCGAACAGTGCCCAGCGACCGATACGCCTGATCTCGTCGCCCTCTCGCTCACAAGCCATCCTGTCGAGGCGGGTGAGCAGGTGGCTGAGCCAGGACTTGCTCTCCAGGTCGCTCTCGGGGATGTCCTCAAAGGACGTCTGCATCGTCCACGTGAACAGCTTCATGAACTTCTCGTGCCGCTCGTAGGCCGACACATCTTCTATGCATCGGTCCCATCGCTGCATCGCCTTCTTCCAAGTGCGGTAGTGTTGCCGACCTGGCCAGGCTGGTGGGTCGCTCTAGTCTGCTTTCATATACCCGCATGACGACCACCACGACCTATCTTCATCGTTCGAGCGCCAATGCTGTTTGTCGTCGTCGTGCCAGCGCTGCTTGCCGTCGCTCCAGTCCTGGCCGTTGGACTGGTCGTTCCATCCACCGTCTGCACCTGCTGCGTCCCACGACGCCCGGGCCGCCGGGCGACCGTCGGAGGGCTGGCCGCGCTGGCGCCCAGTCCCATCCGGAGCACGACCTCTCGCTCAGGGGTCGCTCCGCCCTCCTCCTCCTCCCTCCTCTCCTCCTCCTCCCTCCCTCCTCCCTCCTCCCTCCTCCCTCCTCCCTCCTCCCTCCTTTGCCGTTCGCCCACTCGTACAGGCCGCGGGAAGGGGCGGCTGTCTCAGCAGTGTGCCGAACATCCTCCAGCCGCACCACGCTGGAACCAGTGCTCTGGCTCTGGTTCTGGTTCTGGCTCGCGGGCGGCGCCCTCCTGCGTCTCCTGAAGGCTGGCGAGCGTCGCGAAAGTCCCCGCCTTCTCCGTCGGCGGCCATGCTGTGGATCCCACGCACGTCGGCTGATGGAAGCCGTGCGTCCTCCTAGAGCCCTTGGGCGCAGCCGCCGGCGCGCGCCATGCGCGACGGGCGGGCACCCTTGGCCCTGGAGCTCACACGGCTCCGCTACCAACTGTGGCAGCAGGAGCAGCAGCATATGGTTTGGGACTTGAGCCAGTAAGGACACGCGGGCAAGGCACGGCACAGCATGGCAAGCGGGCGCCACATATTTCGCATTACAGCGCGGGCACGACATGGCGCGCGGGCACGGCACGACACGCAGGCACGGCACAGCACGGGAATGGCACGAAGGCTGCGCACTGATCGCATTCGCGACTGATGGAACCTCGCGTTGAGACCCTACGGGGCAAGGATGCATGTGAGAACCCACATAGTCAGCGCCAACATTGAAAAGGCGTGCTTTGCGTTGGTGGGCGATGTGGCCGCGCATTATTGGTAGCCTACAGACTGGGCATGGCATGGCACGCGGCCACGGGACGGCACGCGCACGGCACGCACGGCACGGCACGGCACGGCACGGCACGCGCTCTGGAGACCGACCACGGCACAGGCGCACGGCACGGGTACGGCACGGCCTAGCACGGCACGGCCCGCAGAGCATGTGCACTCTTGAGACCGAGCACGGCACGGCACGGGAGGTCACGCGGGCGGCAGGGCAAGGCATGGCACGGCAAGGCACGGCACGGCCAAAAGAATATCGACATTGTGGAAACCAAGCACGGCACGGCCCTCGTGGGAGGCACAGCACGGCACGACACGGCTGGCAAGAAACCTCCGTTCTAGAAGCCAAGCACGGCACGCGGGCGGCACGGTACGCGGGCGGCACGGCACGGCATGGCAGAACACCTGCACAGGGCACGGCACGGCTGGCAGAAAAATCATCTCTCCGAACCTAGACATGGGGCCTTGAAGTCACCCGGACCTCTGGGCACTGGGAATAGAGAATAGAACACTTTGATTGGGATCGTGGGATCTCCAAGTCTTAAAATCTTGCAAAAACTTAGAATAGAATGGGGTCTTAGGATATAATGTGGTCTCAAAATAGAACCTAGGAGTGGAGTCTGAATGATACTGGAGACAAACCAACCACAGTCTCTTCAGGGCTATAGGGCTATGGGGCTTTTGGGCCATAGGGCTATAGGTCTATAAGGCTATAGGGCTATAGGGGTATAGGGCCATAGGGCTATCGGGCTGTAGGACTATAGGGCTATGGGGCTATGGGGCTATGTGGCTTTGGGTCCATGGGGGTATAGGGCTATAGGGCCATAGGGCTATAGGTCTAAACGGCTATGGGGCTATGGGGCTATAGGACCATAGGGCCATAGGGCTATAGGGCTATAAGGCTAATCATAAGGCTGTAGGCATATAGAGCTACAGGGCTATAGGTCTACAGGGCTATAAGGCTATCGGGCTATAAGGCTATAAGGCTATAGGGCTATAGGGTTTTAGGTGTATAGGGCTATAGGGCTTTAGGGCTATGGGGCTATAGGGCTATAGGGTTATAGGGATATAGGGTTGTAAGGCACCCGGGCACCTGGGCGTGCCGCCGAAATCGGGGCCTACCTCACTTAACCATATGAATACGCTAGGACCCCTACAGAGGCAAGCTCTGATTGGGGAAAGCCTGAAAGAAACTTAAGAAATAGAGTCACTAGGAATACAGAGGCATGATGAAGGGCCCAGAAGGGCGACGCATCGAGGTAGAGAGGGACAAAGCCCCTTGTTCGCTTGACGCGATTCCTCGAGCTGCTTGTACATCGTATGGAAGGCGGCCACCTGGCGAGGTTGCCAGACCCATAATCCATGATGTTTTCTGCAGACCCCCACCTGGGTACAGTATGACCCTTAGTGTACACATTGATTCAAACTCAAGGCACTCCCTTCGGTGCCCACATCTGCACATCTGCGAAAGTGATCAAATACATCTCACAATATGTCGCTTGCCACCAAAATAAATAAAGCACGCCATATACGCCAGATGTGTGCGCAGGAACTTACGTAGTTGCGCGTGCACACAGACATGCAAGCATGCAAGCATGCAAACAATGCTCTCCTCCTCATCATCACCATCCCCATATCACCCCCACCACCAACACCATCCACCCGTTCTCCAGAAGCCCCCTGACCAATGCGCGTGCGTGTGCGCGTGCACACGAATACTCACGCGCAAGTACTTTCACTGGCCTGCCCAGTCCGTGCCCTATCTGGAACAGCACCTCTGGCGCCCGCAGCCGTGAACGAAGCCTCATGGCATCCTCGCTGCTGCCTGCACGTCCCGCTGCTGCTTGACCGATGCGTACCATCCCATCCCACCGCGGTGTTGGAGGGAAACGAAGTGAGCGCACCCGTACGCCTACGAGAGCGCCCGTGCACGTGCACTTGGTTGTGCAAGCGTGCCTGCAGACGTCCCGGCACGCGCGTAGGAGAGCGCCTGTGCACGCGCGTGCGCACAGCGCACGCGACAGCATTACGCGCGTCAAGGTCTGAGGTGCGCCCTCTTGCTTGAGCCCCGAACGAATAAGAACCGGGAGGAGCTCTGAAACTGTAATCAGCGCGCCGAAGTGGGGGAACGCTGGCCAAAGCCTGCTCAAAAATATGATCACATATCAAACTCGACCGAAGCCACAAAAGCGGACCGGGACAAATCGGGGATCTCCGAAACACGGCGGTCTGGAGGATGCATCGGGCGCCGCGGTCGTTCCAGAGCGCTCCGGAACGCCAAGAGATTCCGAAGCGCTCTGGGGCGATTTCTCCCGATCCGGGGCCCGCCCGATAAGAGGAGACGAGAGCTGATCTGGCGAATTTATTTGGGATGGTTAGTGCGCTGCCGCTTTTGCCCTGGGTATCGGCCAGAAGAGAGGTCACACCTTTGAATCAAGCACTCACCAGGAAGTTTGGCTTGTTCACAGCTGGGTTCCGGGCAGCTCTCCTCAGAAAAGAAACGCCACACAGAACTGACTTCACAGTGCCTGCTGGTCGTCTCGTCCGCATCCCCAGCATCTTCAGCGAGCGTCCACGGCAACACACCCAGACCGCCCTTCGAAGACCAAGGTTCATCGTAGCCGGCAAACATGCACGCGCAAGGCTAACATCCAAACGTTCGGGGCTACCTGCTCGCTTCCTTGATTTCGAGCACCGCCCGTCCACCGCAGAGCTCATCACCTCGAGCCGTTCTCTGGCACTGAGCTCCTGTAGATGTCTTTCAAATTCGACAACACACAGCCTGCATGCTCTTTGTTGCAACAGCCGCCTCCGCAACCAATTTCACCTGTCAAACTGCAATCTCCCCTATAAGCACCGTCTATGAAAATGTGTGCGTACTCCACGGACGTTTTTCCCATCGCAGGAATCATCTTCATCTCTTCGTCACGCAGAGCGGATAGGCGCCACAGGGAGAGAGAGAGAGAGAGAGAGCGAGAGAGAGAGAGAGCGAGAAAAAGAAACAGAGAGACAGAGAGAACAACAAAAGCTCAAAGGCAAGGGAGACGAAGCAACGGAATTGCCAGGGAAATGCCAAGAGGGCGAAGGCGGAAAAGACCACCAGAAGAGACAAGGACTCGAACAGCGGCAAAGATAAGAAAAAAATTAACGAGGCATGGCGAACACACAGCGGACACCATGAAAGGATTTCCGTTGCAGAGGAATGCGTGTGGTATCTTCTGGAGAACCGCAAAAATAGAGACCAGTTGTTCGCTGAGGACCATCATTTGTCACGTTGAGCAAAAGCACCACTGACAAGCCAACGTAGGACCCCGCCCCCTTCTGACGCTTGTCACCCTCCAGTGCGTCTCAACATGGCGACACAGCCAGCTTGCAAAGATCTGACAAGCATACATCGAACAATCTCGGGCTGCATAATTACAACTCGTCCTCCTCGAGCGTGCGGTGCTCCGCCTTCAGCGCGCTGCGCGCCAGGAGGTTTGCCCGGTGCGCCTCGCTTTGTCCACGCAGCGGAGTAAGTTCTCTGTGCTGTCTTTTGGTCTTGATGCTTCTCTCCATGTCTCTCTCTCTCTCTATCTCTATTTCTCTTTCTCTCTCTCTCTCTCTCTCTCTCTCCCTCTCTGTATATCTGGACAGATATGTACATGGTTTGTTTGTTATCTCTCCGTCTCTCTACATCTATATATATATATATATGTATCGCTCTCTCTATATTTCTCTCTCTCTCTCTCTCCGTTTCTCTATGTCTCTCTCTCTCTCTCTCGCTCTCTCTCGCTCTCTCTCTCTCTCTGTCTCCCTTTCTCTCTCTCTCTCTCTCTCTCTCTGTTTTTCTCTCTCTCTCTCTCTCTCGCCCTCTCTCCTCTCGATATATCGTTGTCGGTCGCTCACTCGATCTATCTCCCTCTCTCTCTCTCTTGTTTGTTCTCTCTCTTTCGCTCTCTCTCTCTCTCTCTGTCTCTCCCCCTCTCGCAATGCATCCCAAGCACGCACACACACACCGCAAGAAAGTAGCACGTATGTGTAGATATATCCCTTATGTCCTGACCTTTCCATATCTCTATGTATATATATATACATATATATATGTATATATATATATATATATTGCATTCTCTCTGTTTCTTTCTCTCTCTCTCTCTGTACCTATCTCTCCCTTTTGGTTGTTTTCCTCTGTTTCTCTCTCTCTCTCTCTTTCTCTGGCCGATGGGACGGCACTCACCACCCCCAGCGGTCTGAATCCTCCCGCCAAGGAGGCACCGCCATAACCGCACAACGAGCCCTCGTGGACACCTGTACCGACGATCCTGCGGTAGCAAAGCTCTTGCTGACGGCACGCTGGGCTGAAGCCTACATTCCGTGCCGCGTCCCGCGCACGATCCACGGACACACCACCACGGGCTTCTAATTCGCATCCCTGCACGCTGAAGCGGGCAAAGGCAACTCAGGCCTATTCCGCCTGGCCCTTGCGGCCGCCGCGCGTGTCGGCGCAGCGCTATCCTTTCTTTGCACGCACGCGAACACCAACATCGACCACTCGCCAATCATTGTGGGCGCCCTCCGTCTCGGCTGGTCCAACGCGCCCTCCGTCTCGGCTTGTCTCGTATCATCGGATGGGATAAACGCGCGATTGAAACAGGAACCTCCCGCATTGACTACGCTTTTGCCGACCCCCAGGCCCGCCACCTGGTCACTGACTTTGCCCTCCTGCGCGCCCTCCCAATCCCCCAACACTTGGGCCTCAGAGTCACGTTGGACCTCGACATGGGGCAACAAAAAGCC